GTCCTTGGGGACCTAAGACAAAATTTTAAATTCAAAGATAGATAGATAGATAGATAGATAGATAGATAGATAGATAGATAGATAGATAGATAGATAGATAGATAATCCCCAGCACCACCCTTGGTGAGAAAACGACACGCATTTGAAAGCTGGTGCTTTCTAGATTTTTAATCCTCAGTATCAGCTTGGAGTCCAGTCCAAATAAAAGGGCACCCTTCTTGCCATCTTAACTGTCTTTGCTTTCCTGCGCAATATTTAGGATTTTTTATTTCAAGAGTGGGAGGCTGTGGACCTCGTTCCAAAGCTTCTGCAGGAAAGCGCCGTTCCCGCTGGGTTTTAATGCCGCCACCTTTCCTCCTCTCTCTGCCAGCAGGCTCAGGGCACAGCGTTGGCCTCGTGGCCCCTGGCCACGGCCCTCACCATTCGCGATAGGCACCCACGGTGATGTCAAAAAGCGGGGTGTGGGTGATCTCTCCCTGCTTGTCCAGCAAGTAATAAAAGGGCCGTCCTTTGATCTTGACCGGGATGATGGCCGCCACCTCGGACCGATGAGACATGCAAGAGATGTGACGAAGGGGCACCGTGAAGGATGAGGTGAAGCCAAAGAGGTAATAGGTCGTGAAGGTCACCTCCTGGCTGCCCCGGAGCAACAGGACCCGGGACACGGAGCGTCGAGCGTAGAAGAAGCCTGCCACCAAGATCAGCGTACCTGCAAAGGAACGTCATCTGAACTGGAAAAGCAAATATTGGCAAAGAAACCCACAATCGTTCAGGCCAGGGATGGCGGCGCATCGGTTACCTCCCTTCTGAACACACATTACAGGGAGTCCCCAGTTTAAGACGAGTTCCGTTCCCAAAGTCTGTCCTTAAGTCGAATTTGTATGTAAGCTAGAACAGTCTTATTGTATATTACTGTATAAGTAGTATTGTGTAATGAACTCAAACCCTTGTGTATTTAACTTGAATCCTTGTGTATTTAACTTGAATCCTTGTGTATTTAACTCGAATTTTGCTACAATAGGCTCTGTTCTTAACTATGGGTCATCCGTAAAGCAGGCACTCTTAACCCGGGGACTCTTTGTCATCCAAAATGAGGGAGGACTGGAGGTAAAAAGAGGCCACCAGTGTTTTGCAGACCAAATCCAAGCCCTCCATGGTTTGGGTTAAGGTATCTAAAGCAGTGTTCCCAACCTTGGCAACTTGAAGAGGTGCAGACTTCAACTCCCAGAATTCCCCAGTCAGCATGAGGGATTCTGGGAGTTGAAGTCCACACCTCTTCAAATTTCAAAGGCGGAGAAACCCTGATCGAAAGGGACTCTCAGTGCCCACAGGCATTCGTCAGCGCACCAAACCCACCCACAAGAATCTTTTCTCCAACTTTTTAAGCTCTGATTAGCAGGAAAAGGGGCTTTTTGGTGGCGGCAACTGCGGGAGGCATCTATCCTGATTAATATGGGGCTTTTAAAAACCCATTAATCCAAATAGATTTTATGTTGCTGTTTTATGAATTTTGCAGTACAAAATGTCCAGGCGTGCCTGTGTCTGACACACACAAGCATACAAAATAATAATAATAAAAGGATTTTTTTTAAGAGGAGGGAGGGAAATATGCATAAAAAATTTAAGAGGAACTTATTTCCAACAGGAATATACTAATTTCAAGTGGTAATTCATTGTTTAAAGCCTTTGAACTGCATGGTTCTGCACTCTCTTCCCAGTTCAAATTCTGGGGTTCAAAACCCCGCCATTTTCAGCCAATGAGCATCCGTCCAAGAAAACTCTGTCCGCATTGGTTTCTCAGTGGGCCTGAGAACCAATGAAACGGGCGGGCCTAGAACCAATGAAAGAGGGGGACCCAAAGTTGGCCCACCAATCAGCTGAGAGCTGGAGGGGGAGACTATAAAAGGAGTCAGCAGGTGGGAGAGATTTGGCCAAACCTTCAGAAGACTTGGAAGGGAGAGGAGGTGTCTGGGGAGGGATCCCAGAAGATGAGACCCCTAGAAGACCAGAGACTAAGCTGAAGCCCCTTTTCAGGGGTTTAAAGGAGACCTGAAGCCCCTCTGAGCTGCAGGAAGCCCCAAGACATGTTGTCAGTTGAAGACCCTCCAAGCTCCTCCACAGCAGGCCGATTCTGGGCTAGAGGAACCTCCTGCAGAAGACCAAGATCATCTCGCTCTTCCCATGAGAGAGACAACCTGTGTCAAGAAGCCTCACCTTCATTTTGACTAGGAGGGTAAAAGTCTGGGCTTGCATGTTGGGGGGTCATTAGCCCATTCCTTGGAATTATTTCTGCCGCTCCCTCAGCCCAGGAGTGAGTTGGGGGGGTTAAAAAAGGGGGTGCTCTTGCCCCCCTCCCCAAAAGGGGCAAAAGTGCGGGAACAGGATCTCTATCCAGCACACATGCAGAGGTTCACACAACACACACAGTCTGATTATTACATTCCCTCATTTTCTACATCAATACAATGAATGGGCCAGAAAACCAGCCTGGATTCATATGAGCTGGGCTAAGTCACACCCACACGCAAAAAAGCTAACTCCAAACTGCTGGGGTGTGCAAAGGCGCCCCTAAATCTGCTGCTGTCCGGACGAAGGATGCGCTATTATTGCTCTCACTCCCGCCCTCTTTCCATGAATGGGGAAAGACCTTATTCCCGCATATAATCTCGAGCAAATACCGATAACCTGTGGGTCTGACCTCGGAAAAAAAAGAGGGCTCAGCATTGCATTTACGCATGCTCGGAAAAGCCCCCCCCCCCGCTTTTCCCCCTGGGGCCGATTCAACCCGCATGAAAAGCGCGCGCCGAGGCAGCCCCGCCTTACCCACGCTCAGGCAGGAGGCGGTGAACCCGTAGCGCCACTTGTTGGAGCCGAAGTTAAACGCGCTC